CACACACACACACACACACACACACACACACACACACACACACACACTCGCTCTCTCTTTTTATCAACACACACACATAAACACACACACACAGGTTAACAACTCTTTCCACTAAGCCTTTTCTTGCAGTTATTATTGAATTCCCTTTAAATCAGGAAAATGCGTTTCCCCTCAATCAGTATTTGCAGTTTATCGGTCGTTTTATGAATGCTTAAATATTTCACCTGATTATTATCAGCTGAGTGTGTTTGGATTTGTTTTTATTTACTGCTCATAGTTTAGTGGAATTATCGCTGACGCAGAGTGGCAACTCTCGTTCAACTGATCTTGAACTCTGATTTATAAATCTGTTTTTAATTGGGAGCACCTCCTTGTGTGGCTCTCTGACGGTTGAAACAATTAAAATCATTTAAACTAAGAGTGTTGCAACATCAAGTTGGCGAAGGAAGAGAGATAAATTGTTCATATAAACTTCACATCAAAAAACGTAAAGGCTTTACTATAATTAAGAAAAGCATAGGGTGTCAAATTAATATACAGTTTGCATCTTGTTAAAAATAAAACACATACGTATACTGACTTTTTACATTGGATTATGGCCCTATTGTAATCAGATGTATTGTTGTAAGAGTATCAGATGATAAATCTTCCAGTATTATTATTTAACTGATTCTCGTTAACATTATTAATGACACGATTATTAATTGTAATGATAAACAGGAGTAATTCAACTAAAAATACAATTGTATGGGCTCAACTTAATTTGAATCCAGTTTTTACAAAAAATAAATGTTCAAACAGCTAAAACTATCCATCCTTCTATCCATCTGTTTACTGATGCTTTTTGTGTTTGAATGTCATATAAAGCTTCCTGCCACCACAGCTTCAGGCCATCAAACCTCGGGCAACACAAACATGAGAAGGCCAAACACCTCCCATCTCTCCCTCATTCTTTCTCTCTCTTATCCCATGGCAAACTCCTCTGTCATGCACCTTGTATTTTTACCACATTTTAATGGGCCTCGCGACCACTCTCGTGCATGGGAGGCTTTGGGGGGTATACCGAAAGCTCCTACTTTCACTTTATAGCAGTGGTTGGCAGAAGAGGCCCCCGAAGCTTCTCTCTCACCCCTCTTTCTCCATGTCTCTCTCTCTTTCTCCCTCTCTCTCTCCATCTTCCTCTCTCCCTCTGCACGCCCCAAAGGGTTTTGTCAGATAGAATTAAATCAGTGTGGGCCGTGCGGCCCCCACTCTCAACCTGTGTGTGTGTGTGTGGAGTCTCGGCTGCCCTTACACAGAAATGTGCTCACAACCACAAGGTTATAAAAAATAGAGGCCCCTCATGAGCCGTGGTAATTATCATTTAACAATAGCCACAATTCCTGAAGCCCTGACCGCAGGTGATGTCACCCCATCGCCTGACCAGGAAATGGACAAATAACACAGATTAATATCATCAGGGCCTTTTCAGACTCTCAGAAAATGGCCTATTGTGTTGTTGTTTTTTTCAACATGACTCAGTGTTGTGTAGTTTTTTGTTAACAAGGTCATTATTTCTGTACTTTCAACGGCAATATGATGATGCTGTTAACAGTGTTCTTCTAAAAAAAAAAAGAAGAAGTTGCGTTGGCATTGGATTTTTATATTGCAAAAAGTTTCTGTGATAGTAAAGTTTTATTTTTTAGAAATGGGCCTATATAAAAAATAAAAAATGGACAAGAAATAAAAATGATTCTTTTCCATTTTGATTTGATTTTAATTGATAATAATGTCCGTCATCATTGCATCTAAATGTTAAAAGTCATATATTTCCAGAAATAAAACACAACATCTTCAACTTCCTCCAACAAAAAGTTTCATTTAGTTACAATTAATATAAGAACAGTGCTTCTTCTGTTCTAAGACAACCAAATGTACACACTTAGAGGGATATAAACACTTACAGAAATTTACACAACGTCACAAACATAAATTGGCTTTGTAGACATGTATCCTGCACGTCCATCGTTTCCCAGTTTCCTTACATTTGAACCCTTCAACCTTTGTGTTACTGGTATAAGCCTAAGAGCTTATACACCACTTAGATGGACCCGGTTCAGGCAGGTCAAAGAGTTCAGCGATGGAGGGAGCAACAAGGGAGGAGGTGATTACAGCGTCATTTCATCTCCTCTGTTAGCGATATGTGTCAATCAATCACAATCTCCCATGCTCCTTCAACATGGGAAAAGATAGGATGACAGAAAATAGGAGAGTGTGATAAAGCAATAAACCAGTAAGGTGATGACAAGCAGTGTCAAAAAAAGAGCACAGAAAAAAATGTTAGGCTACAATCTACAGCAACAGTGACAACATTAGTGTTAGTTCAATTTCAACGTCATTCATATTACCTTGCACGATGGTATGTGCTCTCATACAAACACAGAAAGCACTGAAAATAGATGCACGGACACACAAACAGCTGTAATACTACGCATGACGGCCTCATGCCAATAGAATTAGTCCAATCCTGCTTTGCTTCGGAGGCTTGTGTTAGCATTGATTTGTCCGATTCTAAAGCATCCCGGGATCAATTTTTTGTCGAAGCCAACGGAAGCAGTCTGTTTAGATAAATCTATGGCACGTATGTGGCATGGATAAAAGTATATAACTTTTAGATTTAGATCCACAAGCAAAAATTAAAAAAATATTCAGTACTTACTATATTTTCAGTATGTTTTTGTTGTTGTAATATTTGTTCCTATTATTTGTTATTATATGTATGAAATTGGTCAATGTGTTTATAACATATTGGTACTGTAGCACCCTTATTTAGCATTAAAAAGCAAACATTAAACAAGTGCTTTATAGCGCCATAAAAGTGTTTATTCATATTTTTGTCAACAACCATAACTCCTCCTGTGGGCGCCCATAAACAGATAATGAATGACAATATAGTAAAACACAGTTGAAATAAAATAAAATATGTCTACATAGGAGAAGTTATAATTGTTTAGAAATACTACACATTAATAAACACAAACAATACCTTACATCTGCTTACAACTACATTGCAGTATGTTAAAAAACCATTACGTAAATGTTTCTATAGTGCTTAAAAATGCTACATAGGGGGGTTAAGATAACAATGAGAGAAACATATAAAATGTCTCAAAAGATTACTAAAATCATTAACAGTTAATCATTAACATATTAAACACCTGTCATACCAGAATTTGGCACAAATACCAACAACAATGAACAACTGCGACAAATAGAAACTGGCATACTTTGTACTGAATGATGGGGGGGCCTATTTGGAAACCAGCAGCACCATCCTCAGTCAGAAACAGCAGGTTGGCACACAGCTTGTGTCACCAAATCACTGTTTTCCATTGTTGCCATGAAATCACTTATTGCGCACATAGTCAGCACCTGGCCTGAGCGAATCTCCGATTTGCAGTGTTATCAGGGTTCTGTGTGGTCTGTTGTCGAGCTCGGTGTTGTTGATTGTGTTGTTTATTGTGCGTTTGTGCTGACTAATGGCCCAGTGTTATGTAAGAAGAGAGGAGAGATTACCCCAAACCCATGCAGGCCACACTGTTAATCCCTCAACACAGCCCCACTGACTGACTGAGGAACCGCCAGAGTCCTGTTGCAATACACGCAAGCTTACATTCAGGACTCACTTCCCTCTGTCTTTTCACTTGTCTTGATAAACCCACAGTCTACTCCTCACCCAGTGTGTCTGCCTGACCTTTTTTCAAGCCGTCAACCAAAAACATCGCACCATGCTGTGTGTGTGTGGCCTGAATAGCACTTCTGTGGTCCCACTGAGCCGCTATCATAGCTCGTGTTTGTTTAGCATGTGCTCAGCGTGCGCTCCATGTTGGTTTTATCCCTTTGCGGCTGTCTGGTGGAGTCGAGCCGAACAGTTTTTCTCCTCAGTCAATTCTCTCTCTCTTATTTTTAATCTTTATATACACAAAGCGTGGGCTATACGGCACGCTTCGGTTTGTGTCTCCACTTTATCTTAGCCAGGAGGGATTTCAGCCTGAACCACTCCTAAACTCTAAATCTGCCTTGAAGTCATAGAGTCCTCTGACAGCTCCTTCTGTTTTGTCAGTTTTAGTCATCCATGAAGCCAGCATGTGTCAATGGAGGCACAATAATATTCAATATTCACATTTTCCTTCGATTTGCATTGAAGTAAAAAAAAACGGGGGAAGAGGGTGACTGCGCTTGTTAAGAGCAGAAACCGAGTAATGTATGAACAGAGGGACCATAGATATTATTGGATGGGTAGCTTTTATAAAAATAAATATGTAAATACTCGTATCGAGATCACTTGAGCAGGAATTGAGTTGTGCTTTCTCACAATCAGTCAGAG